GCTCTGACCCCAGGACACCTGCTCTGACCCCAGGACACCTGCTGAGACCCCCTCTGACCCCAGGACACCTGCTCTGACCCCAGGACACCTGCTCTGACCCCAGAACAACTGCTGAGAGCCACTCTGACCCCGGGACACCTGCTTTGACCCCAGGACACCTGCTGAGACCCGCTTTGACTGCAGGACACTTGCTCTGACACTGGGGACACCTGCCATGCCCCCAGGACTCCTGCTCTGACACTGGGGATGCCTGCCATGCCCCCAGGACTCCTGCTGTGACCCTGGGAACACCCACCAGCAGGGACCTGTGTGGGGAGGAGTTGCTGGACACGAAGTCATAGTCAAGTGGGCAACAATCATAGAGACAAAAAGCAGACAAGTCCCAGATAGAAATGGGGATGAGAAACAAAGTCACAAAATCCTTCAGAGGAGTCGGCATGTTTCTCTAACCCAGTGTCTAACAACAGAAAAACAGTAACAAAACTGAAGGAGAGAGCTCAATGGAACTGAACAACTTTTTTCTCATCACAGAAAAAATGGTACAAGAAAACGCACGCCTTGGCTCAATCTCAGCTCGATGTGGCCATTCCCGGAAGTGAGCACATTTAACAGCGCCATGTGTTCACGGTGAGTATTCACAGTCCGTGGAAATGTGCGGGCATCAAGAAAAGCAAAGTGCGTGTCAATATTTTAATGCTGAACTTATTGAGACATCACGAGGTTAACACAAATTTGTCCTCTACAGTTTCAAGAGGCGCTCAGAGTGGTGGCCACGGCTTCCAGACACATTAGTATGGTGAGCAGCTAGAGTGTGGAGGCATTTTTTGAGGACTCTGCATACTGTACAATTTTTGTCAATTAAAAAAATAAAAACAAAAATTTTTAAAAATTAAAAATCAAAAAGAAAACTGAACCGAGCTTTTTTCCAACTAACTGCACACTAAAAGGAGCAGTAGGAAGCAGTGGTCAGACGTCACACAAACCTTTGAAGAGACAAAATAAAGAGAAAAACTGCATGTCCAGAGACAAATCCTACCAGAAAGACAGACATAGAGAAACAGAATCTACCACCATCTCAAAAAGACAATTTAAAAATCATTTAAAACACAAAACAACAACATAGAAAGAATTACTGTAGCTTTTCTTTTTTAAATATCATTTTAGATGAAAACTAAGCTGAGTACAGCAGCTTCTAATCACAGTCCCAGCTACTTGGGAGGCTGAGGCCGGAGGATGGCAAGTTCAAAGCCACCCTGGGCATCCTGGAGAGACTGTCTATGATCCGACATGACAGGACAAGACACGATACAAGACAATACAGTGGCTGGGGAGAAGCGTGGTGGTAAACCCCTTGTGTAACACAACTGAGACCCTAGGTTTAACTCCCAGTACCATATGCAAAAAAGCAAAACAAAACAAACAACCCAAACAACTAAACAGTAAGAAGTCAAAGGGTCATTAAATGTGATAAACGAACCTTTAACAGAAACTGGAAAGGAGACTAACTTGAAAAGTAAAATAAATAAATAAGAAACAAAGGACTTCAAAAAGCCTGGCAAATATTGGAAGCAGATACAGAAGAATGGAGTCTTGGGGAAAACAAAAGCAAAAGAAAAATTATACTTCAGGAAAACATTTTTGTGACTAAAACCTTTTAAAAGACTTTAGAGTATATGTGGGAAAAAAAACACATACTTTAAAAGTACCTAAGGAAGCCAGGAGTGGTACTGTACCTCTATAATTCCAGTACTCTGAGAGGCTGAGGCAGGAGCATCACAGGTTTGTATCTATCCTGGGCAACTGAGTGACTAAGACCCTGACTGGATAAAAAATGAAAAAATAAATTTTGAAAGGGTGGAGTTGGGTGGAATGTAGCTCAGTTCAAAAGCCCTGGGTTCAATCCCCAGTAGTGCTAAAAACAAACAACAAACAAACCTAAGAATGTGAACCCAGAATGAAAAATACAAAAACACAATCTAATAAAATCACCAGACTTAAAAGGAACAAATAATTCTTCAGGCACTTAGGTAGAAAGAGCACCTGGCATACCAGGAAAGTAATTATGATTATGAAGCAAATTACTGGCAGAAGAAAATGAGAAAAACATAGAGAAGACACTCAGTGAAAGAAACTCAAGCAAAGACACTGGGAATCAAGGATTTTATATCCAGCAAAAGTGACCTTCACATATAAAGAATGAGAAAAACTACCAACAGCCGCAAGAAAACAGGGAACGCTGTTCCTTGGGCCCTTCCTGAAGAATCTACTAGACAGCAGGTCTCAGGCAACAAGAGCCGCTCAGAAACAGCCATAAAGATAGGTAGGTGAACATCACTGATAAAAGATACTCACGGAACTGAGACTGAGGTTAAAAGCGCATAGTGTGAGTGGCTGGATAGTCCAATGATGATGACGTGGACACAAAAGCTACAAACAGGTAAGGGGAAAACAGCTGGGCCAGCCAACTTGTTTTCACTGATAGCAACTGATGAGGATGGGATGTGTATTATTCTCATTTACATGTAAAGAAGGATAAAGCAAATAAATACTTGAGACAGTCTAACTCCCAACCTGTGTACACCCACCACCTGGATCCTGGGGCAAGGTACACAACACACTATAGAAAAGGGTAAACAGAAACCTCAGTGCTCAATTTAAATTGGAAACACTATGAACACATGAGGAATTGTATGATCCTCGGTGCTCATACTATGGTCTAAAAATACCATTCTTTTTAAAGAGAAAAAAAACAAAATCAAGGACAAACAAAATAACAAAAAAACAATTAAAAACTACAGAATTTCAAAAAAGGGTGACAGGAAATTAACAATGGTTGTTGTATTATATATTGTTATCTTAAAAGTGGTTACTCAGATAACCAGATCTAGGCATGTAAGATTGATCAAAACATTAAACATTAACTGTTCCTTTCAATAAACCAACAGAACTTAGCAGTATGATTATCTTAGCTATCCTGTGTACGTGTGTGCATGTGTGTGTGTATGTATATGAAAGAAAGAAGGGAAACAATGTATAATTTTTTCTTTCTTTCCTCTTTCCCCACATCCCATAGTTCTTTCCTTTTAAGCAGTTTCTTTCCCTTTCACAGTATCTACTGTACCTTTCAGATTTTATTTACTCTTTCAGGTTCTTGCACTAGGGAGGGAATACAATGTTTACACATGTGAGTCTGATTTATAGACATTTCCTATTTAAATATAAAGATTCTGCAGGCAGTCGCATGTGCTAGACATTGTGAGTGTGTGGTAGCTATCATTACACACTGGGGCTCAAAAGGATATTTCTTCAAAATGTAGATGATGCTTTCAGAAAAAAAACCACATTTTCTCTTGGCTTACTGAAATTTGATTTCACACTTTAATGGTGAAAGATAAATTATAATCAAGGATGTTTAATTGCTTTAAATCTCCATGCAGATAGCTTTCACAATAAATAGTGTGGTGATCATCACTTCAAAGACCAATCAACAGGCATCTGCTATGGAGCTGGTATTATTCCATATTCCATGGGCACAGAATGACCATATATTCCTAAACTAAAATCAAGATATAGGGACTAGAAACAAAGAAAGTAAGATATATAGACTAGAGACAGAGAAAAATAGAATTTATCGAGTGCCACATATATTAATTACTTTCATTCCCTCCCACAGCTGCATAACATATTATTTTTGCTATTTTACTGATGAATTCAAGCATTGAAAAATTTGGCTGCTCTGGGCCACACAGCTAATAAACAAAGAAAGCAGTGTCTGAACATCATAAGTTTTGTATCGAAGCCCAAATATTAACACTGGATACAAATTATGAAACATGTAAATTATTACAGATCCCGGTGCTGGGCTGAGAAATTTGCATCCACCTGGATCGTACAATGTGACCTGAGATGTGGTCTTGGCAGAACTAATCAAGTTGGAATGTGGTCTCCAACAGAGGGAAATGTGGACAGAGACACACAGAAGGGACATCACTGGACTCGGGGTGAAGTCTGGAACACTGTGTCCTGAACCAAAAAACATCGAAAGCTACAAAGAGGTGAAGAAGGCTCGGGAGAGAAGTCTTGTCGAGTAAGAATCATTGGTTCAACCAAGGATGCAGACAAGATAGCAAAACTACTACCTCTGGGAGGCGGGGTATTACGTGTTGAATTTTTCTGCTTTATGTTTGTTCAAACCCAAAGCCTTTCTCAGTAACGGTCATTGTTCTACCAAGAAGATCCTATTTTAAGTGAAGTAGGTTTGGCAAAATTGTAGCCAGTTGCTGATGGCTATGAAAATAATTTTACAGATACTGCTACTGTTTATGATAATTAGGAGGCACAAGGGGACAGATTTTTATAAATGCTTTTCAAATGCTGACTGTCTTTTTCCTTAAGAAACAATACGGGCTTATTTCAAAAATCCAGGCGTCAGCTGTTTTTCTTTCTGTATGAGGGGCACCTAACTCCACTGCGCCATTCGCCCCAGTAGGAAGTACCCCGGAAGCCACCTGGATGGATGCACTTTGACACAGGCGATGCTCTTCCCGACAGAAGCCCTGTCGCTCTGTCACGGGGCCACTGACGCCAGGCGCCGAGCTGGGTACCACCCACACTTCATCAGATTTCACCTCATAATTACTCACCTAGGTACTTGTCAGAGGCCAGTCTCTCACCTTAAACCCTGGTGCCATTTTCTGGTTTTAGAAAACATGCTCCATAGAGTGCACATCACAAATACCTCTTGTGGGGCCGGGGGCAGAGCTCAGCGGCCACACCAAGGACTAGCACTTCCCTATGGAACTGTGACCACACCCACTGCCAGCACTGCCGAGCCGCGCTGACGTAGACACGACTTGATCTGCGCACCTCGCACTTCTAGGCCAGAGCTCATCAAGGGCGCGAGCCAGGCGCAGCCCCTCCACCTCCAAAACCTGACCCGGCAGTGAGGCAGTAGAAGGGACCCTGCAGGCTGAGGGACTGGGGGACACGGCAGCAGGGGGCGCCGGGAAGTGGAAGTTAGACTCTCAAGACAACGAAGCGTGGAGCGCCTTGCAGGCAACATGAGGCAGGGTGCGAGGGTCCAGGACAAGGCCGCCGTAGAGGAAGCACAGGGGGCGGTCACGTGCCCCGCACTGCCCTGGCTTCCATCCCGACACCCGGCCACAGCAGCACTGGCGGGCAGGACAGGGCACTGCGTCGCATGGGCTCTGCCTGCGCGCTGCATTTTGGCCCCCAGCTCCGGAGCCCCTCCTGGGGTTCACAGAGGGGCAGGAAGAGCCAGGGTCGCCACCAGCACACGGGTAGGTAGGTGCCAGCCCGGCGCTGCCCTGCCCCAAAGCCACAGACAGGTGAGTGGCGTGGACACAGCAGCAGGAAGCAGGGCCTGAGAGGCAGGACCCTCCCAGGGCAGGACGGAGCGGAGCAGGGGACCTTTGGCGGGAAGGGCTTCCAAGACATCTCGGCAGCAGCAGGTAGTGACACACAGAAGAACCGGGCCAGGACCAGTGTCCTTACCTCCCACAGCTCGTAGAGCTCCTTGCTGAGGTCCTCCGGCAGGAGCTGGGTCATCTGCCTCATGGCTTCCTGAAATAACAAACCAGCATCGTCACCGCGTCCACCGCCACCCACACTCCCCCTGGCACGTGGCGTGTGCCACTGCCAACATCTTTTGTACAGTATACTCATTTTCTAGTGTGAATATGATCTTATTGCAAACTTAAAGGGCTACACAAAGGGGCAATTATTGTCATCAATATAGAGGAGTTTAAAGGTAAGACTTCAGAGGTTCACAGGCCCACGGCTGCACTGAGGGACACACCCGCCTCCCTCCCGGGCCGCGCCGGGCACCGGGGACCCAGACACACGAGCTCAGGAGAGGGGCCTGCGTGCTTCTTCCGGGCCCTCCTCCGAACAGAGTGGAGCAAACCCCCTGCAGAGTGCAGACGACACAGGAGGGCGCTGTGCTGTGCTTATTTATACCTCTGTGCCTCATTCCGCTCTCTCCCCCACTGAGCTGCTCCAGCGTCCTCCGAGAGTCACACTCTGGGGACAACATCCCCCAGATGGCTTCAAATTCCTTCACATCTCAGCCTGTCCCTTACTCCGCCACAGGTCTGCCAACCCCAGGGGGTCAGACACCTTGAGAAGAACATGGTTTTAAAAACGTCTTAAGTGGGGCTGGGGATTTAGCTCAGTGGCACAGCACCTACCTGGCAAGAGCAAGGTCATGAGTTCAATTCCCGGTACCAGAAAAAAAAAAAAAAAAAAAAGTCTTAAGTGATGAGTGATAGAGCTAACCCTCCCTGTTTGAGTTGATATTGTTTCATCCCCCATACAAAACCATTTTCTCCTACAAGAATTAGGGCAGGGTTGGTGGGTTGCCAAGGAAAGCAGAAAGTTTTATGACTTTTGCTTCAGTGATTTTAGGACAAATTAAAAGTTCTAAACTCTGAAAAACAATCACTTTTGGCATTCTAAAGGCCTTATATAAAATAGTGAGTTGGAGAAAAGCAATGAAAATAAAGATGAGCTGGGCGTGGAGGCACACCCCTGTAATTCCAGCACTCGGGAGGCTGAGGCAGGAGGACTGTTGCGAGTTCAAGACCAACCTGGGCTACAAAGTGAGCTCAAGGCCAGCCTGAATTGCACAGTGAGACCCTGTCTCAAAGAGACAAAAAAAAAAAAAAAAAAGACAAGAAAAGAAAGATGGACATTTGTATATGTCTTCAATCCTGGAAGGAAAAAAGTCTTAGAGAAAAGAGCCACTTCCGGAGCACGCTACATTACCAGTGCCAACAAACTGCTTTACAAGAAACACTGGGACCCTGTATGGCCAGAGTGTCTCATCATGCTCTGCGGTGTGAAATTCAGTGTGTTTTACACCTGCACTCTTTCTCATAAACCTCAGCAAAATGCTAGAGAAAATACCTCACATTTTTGCCAATTAAAGGTGTCTTCATAAACAAATTGATTTTCTCTACACTCTTCCAGAAACACAAGTTTTCCCATGCCTTGCGTTTCAGAGGGATATACGGAACGTCTGTATGTTCAGGTACATTCAAACCTTAACCTGTAGAACACAAACATCGAAACCTTACTGGGTAAGGGATGATCTGATGTACCCAGCATGAATAGTGACTTCCGCCTGGTGAGACCAAGGTGGCTCAGGCTGGCCGCTGTCTTCCCAGTGCAGCCTGAGGCTGAACTGGCCTTTCTGAGGTCACGTCGCAGCCCTGACTTGTGAGTAAGTCTCCTGTGGACGAACAGCACCAAGTTCTTGAAACACAGAGCAGACAATAAACAGAGTGCTCTCTTCCTGAGGCTGAGCAGACGGCATCGCAGCTCACTGGGCCCATCCGATACTCATAATGAGGAGTGCACTTCTGGCATTCCTTGTTTGGTTAAATCGCTGCCCGTCCAGTCCGCTCACCTAAAGCGCACGACGCTCGCGGGCTCTCAGTACGTGTCCCACCTCCAGCCCTCACTGAATCACCTGAAGGCCCGGCCCAGACACTGAATCTTGCCCCCACACACCATCCGCGTAAGGAATTCGTCACTCCCCAGATGTGAATTCCTCCTGTCCCCAATCTTGACCGGCAACTAGAAGAACGACGGCACACAGCGCTCTCCATGCCCTTGGCTTCTTGTCCAAGAATTTCTTGTTCTCACGAAGCTTCCTTGGTGCCCTCTCTTCTCACATCTATCCTACTGTGCATCAGCAAGTCTTCATCCTAACCGCAGACAGCAGCAGCCCAGTGGTCAGGTCTCCTGTATCCTCTCTGGGGGACACTGGCCAGGGTCCAGCTCGTTAGGACAGCAGTAGGCTCTCCTCACCTCCGGTGCTTGGAGACCCTTCGGATGGACTGTAGCTCTTCTCCGAAAGAAGCTGGCTTGCTCTTTCATGCGTCGACTCCTATGCACACTCAGAGAGGCCATCTGTCTTTCCTTCGTCCCCGTCACATGACCCCATGTCTTCCCCTCACTTTTGATGACCTCAGGATACTTCAGTATGATTCCTCCTCCAATTCCAGTGAGAATAAAGCCAACATTCTGACATGAGCTTCGTACCTATTTGCCATCCTTTCCCACTGGGTACCTCATTACCCACCGTCCTCCAGTTCAGGAGTCAGCTCCCTTTGTGCCACTCAGACTCTCGAGCAAACGGCTTTCTTTTGCTGTGAATTCTGCCAGCGAATCTGGAATTCTTGTCTCACAAATTCAAGACACACACAGGGAATGGTTCCTTAGAGCCTCCCCTTCTCCCTTGAGGTTGGCCAGCCTATACTTCGAATCTGTGTTCTGGCGGGAAGGGAAATACATCCCTTACGCTACTCCCTCTGCTCCAATAATTTAGGGTGGGGTGGAATTTCTAAATTAAGACTAATTCCGTGTGGCTCTTCTTGCCTTTAGAGAAGCAAAGCCTGTGTTCTCCACTCATCTCTGAAAACCCCTGTGTACGCTCACTCGCCTTGTGAAGCTGTCTCAGCAAAGGCTTCCTTACTCAGCCATTGAGGACCAATCTCAATAAAAGGAGCTTCCAATAATCCCTGGACTCAAAACCTGACTCTCAGCACCAAGTCTTCCTGGATTTTCCAGCCTCGGACTCAAAAGCATCTTCTTCGCCCTCAGGCTTTGGGTTTACAACTCACATCAACCTCGACTTCATAATTTTCAGTGCTACTCATTTCTTAGTAATACGAATGTTTTGCTTTGTTTTATTTCTACGCACTCAGTAAAAAAGACTAACCTGAAATTTACTAAACAATTACAGTTTGGATTATACTTAAGATATAGAGAATTTCTCTCCAAAGAGCTTCACTAGTGTGCAGATTCTACAAACTCGCTTCCATTCCAGCTAGTTCTGTGGTTCAAATGGAAGCCCTCTGCCTCCGTCCAGTTACTACCGAGAACTGAAAGCGCTGCGGCTGTTACGGCTGGCAAACTCTCCCATTCTCATTAAACAAGGCTGCAATAAGCAAAAACCAGGAAACCCACCCTGAATTACTGATTACTCCAGGAAATCCCCAATTCTGGAAGAACCTGTGCTACCTGAAACAAAGTAAGCACTTCACGCTTGGTGGTGAAGGTTCCCAAAGGTTCTCAGTGAGACCCGCCCTCGCCACTCCCATCAATTCCAAGCTCCCAAATCTTAAACTCTGTGCAGTCCTGCGAGCTGCCTGTCATCGCATCTGGTGGATCTTAATACCCTGTAGCCAGGCCCTGAAATGACAAACGTGTCCTCCCAGCCCTGGGACACCATGAAGACCACGGAGATGATGTCTTCCCTCACTGCGGTAGCCCAGCGCCCTTGGCTTTGGTTCAGTAACGGGTTTCCCGGGGGGCTGTCACAGGGTCAACAATCACCACTGACCTCTTCTCGCCTATGCTTTTCTTCTTTGGGGATGTTATCAGCTGGCGCTATGTCCCCCACGATGCACTCTGCCATGTCGTGAACCAGGGCCAGGCGAATACATCTGACCAGGCAAGAAATGGTGAGCGATTACACAGTTACATTCACAAGTTTCTTCTTTGTGTTATCTTCAAGTTACACAAAGTATTTTTCGTTCTTCACGGCCACAGAATGATTGAATACAATATTTTCTAAGGTAATCATGTTCCCCCAGCCTACAACAATTCTGAGCTCAATCCGCCAGTGAGCATCCCACACAAGCGGGAGGGTACCAGGGTGACTGCGCACTAATTCTTTCCCGGGGGTCTGACTTCTCACTCTCGCTTCAAGAGGTTCCTAATTTCGGATTACAAAGCCAGGAGATGACCTACTGCTGGGATTTCTCACTGGGACGAAACTAAGAACCCAACACTTCCTGCGCCTGCAGCTGCTCACAGGATAATGGGCAGAGCCGGACTTGGCTGGGTTTGAATTCTGCAAGCAGCACTGACTAGCCACATGAGTCTAGCTACGTAATTTCTGCCAATCATTTACGTAAACCCTCCATTTTGTCACCCTTCATTTTATCATCTGTAAAAAGATAATCATACTTAATAAGGCTAGTGTGAAAATAAAAGGTGAAAAATTATGTTCCTGACACATGCTCATTCAACAAATGGCTATGATTCTATTACCAGTAATTAGTTCAGTAACTATGATAATCATCATCAAAATAACAAAGCGAGCCACGAAGGGCAGAGGGCCAGTCTGCTTCACAGCCCCACTGTTACCGAGGTGCAGGCCTCCGAGGCTCCTCCCGGGCGGCCCGCCCTCCAGGCTCTCCTGGCCAGCTCAAATCTCAGACTAGTCCTAGGTTCGTCTCGCTGACGTCATTTTCATCTCATGCTACCAGTCTTCTCCATTCTGCACCAGATGCCGAGTACCAGCACTCCCCAGATGATAACCCACTTGATTTCCTTTTCTCGTCTAGGAAGGGGACCGAGAGGCAAAGGCAGAGGGGAGGGAGAGGAGGGGCAGGAGATGGAAAGAGAATCAAGCTGTGTTACACACAGGCACCGACTTCCCATGATGGACATAATCATCATGTACCACAAACGTGGATTAGTAAAAGTAAAAACAAATCACCCCTTGGCTCCCTCTCTATCTGGCTGTGGGCTCCTATGTGCTCCTCTCCGCCAGCCGTGCCTTCCTCTACTTCTCTACTTGCACCAACCCTTTAGACCTCACATCGGAGGGCCCCTGCACGAGGGTTACCCACACACAGGGGACCTCGCCTCAGGTTAGAACATTCAGCTCACTACCTAGCCTGACTTACCTTGGGCTTTCTGCAGAAGCCACTCTGGGCCTGGGTGATTCATTCACTCACTGTCTTGTACTGCTGGCAAACTTCTGAGCTCCAACAGCACTTAATGCTTGGTGGCTGGCTAATGAGGACACCTGCTTCTCAACTCTGTCCTGAACATATACAATCACTTCACAAATGAGTGCTACTCTTCATAAAAGGAGCTACAGAAAAGCAGCCAGCACACCTCAGCAACGGCAGGACTTTAGACAGAATGCACCTCCGAGGCCTAAAATCATGCATACGCTGCCCCTGAGCCAAGGCAGGCTCCGTGACTCCCCAAAAGAAAACCTAGACTGCGGTCTGCAAAACTGAAGCCACAGACAGTGTCCCCTGCCTACCTCCTGAATCCGTGTGCTGGCCTCAAGTAACTTTGTTTGACTTAGGCAGTAACTTACAGAAACCTGACCGATGCCCGTCAGGCAAAAGCGGTGCACACCACAGACCTGAGACCCTCACAAGCCCCAAAGTGCAGATGAGCTCACCGGTCTTTGTTAAGGTGGGCATCTCTGGTCACCATGGCCATCAGCGCCATGCGGTACATGTGATCGGACACACTCTCTGGATCTTCCACATTTCGGTACACCCAGCCAGTTCGAGGGACTCTCTGATAAACGGGAAGAAGTAACAGTTTTAAGAAATAAGTATTCTCAGATACACAAGCTTAAATACTGCACCGTTTCTCCTATGTGAGAAATCCAAAGTATCAATGAGGAGCATAATAAATGATAAAGGATAGGAAACAGGGAGACAGATCTTTTGCACATGGGAAAGAGTCCAAGAGTTGGAGGGAGTGGAAGGGGACACAAAAAGAATTAAGATGCATGGGATGTAGGGATGATCTATGACCTCCAAATAATCCGAAAGAGGGAAATACAACTCTCGACCTGCTACATGCCTGATACACCCAGTTCTCCTTCTCTAAAATCAAACAATGAATTGTAGGAACAAGGGAGACTGAGCAGGAAGTATTTATTAAGAGAAAGAAAGCTTCTAAGAGGGACAGAAGGGGGTCCCCAGTGAGTGGCCCGGGGCTTTAAGGAGCAAAACCACGAGGTGAGGCAGGTGTAAGGTGGGATAAAACTGTAATTAACTAGTAAGATTACAGGAATGGTCAGGTAATACTGATCCAATGGGGAATCACAAGGTGGATCTGGGGTGGGACAAAACTATGGTCAGCCAGTGAGATCACAAGTATGGTAGCCACCCCATCCCAACTGGGGCTTCTGCACCCGGGAGGGGCTTTGCCCCCGTCCCGTCATCTTTGGGCCCTGCGTTTGGCCCACTGCAGATCCTTCTGCTGGGTTTAGTCCAGCAGTTTTTAATAGATTCTAAAACCATGCCCCTGCCTCTGTGTGCTGGCCCTGGACTTCTCCTGAAGACCGCAGCGCATCGCTGGGACGCTTGTCTCTTTTAATCCGAAATCTGCATTTTCATTTGTTTGCCGTACACCACGGGTACACTCCCGGTGGAAAGTGGGCACGTGTGTCCGCAGACACCTACGTTATTTAGAAATACTAGAGGCAGGCAGAGGGCGGAGCGGGAGACAGCGCGCACGGGCGCGCTCCTGGAAGCCCAGGCCCCAGCGCAGAGCAACGCCCGCGCCCACAGCCGCCCTGGGGATGCTCGCAGGGGCGGACGCTCTGCACCCGCATCAGTCACCCTGCGCGCGGGACCGCACGCCCTCACCCACCCCTCCGGGGCGCCCCGGCCTCCCAGGCGCGCGCCCGAGCCTCGCTCCCGTTCCACCGACGCTCCCGGAGCAGCTAGCTCGCCAGCGCACGGGCCACGCTGGCGTGGGGACTGGGTCCCCCTCCCCGGGCGCCCCCCGGGCCCCGCCTCACCTTGAGCCGCCCCAGCAGCCGCAGGAACTGCAGCAGCTGCCGCGACCCGCCGCGCGCGCCGGTCGCCATGGCCGGGCCGACCACGTGAGGGGGCGGGGCCTGCGAGCGTAGGTCACGCCCATCCGCCTGGGCACGCCCACGCACCTGTCCCCGCCCCTCCGGGCCTGGCGTCCTGCGTCGTCCTCCGCTTCCCTCTCTCTCTTCCTCCTCCGCTCCTTCCCCGGGTCCGCCTGCTCCCGCCTGCTCCGCAGGCTCCCACCTTCCGAGCCCCTTGGGCGCTGCCCCACTCGTGACGGCCCCTGCGAGTCACCCGCGGGCCTCGGTACCTGCTCCTCCAGGAGAGGGGAGGGGAGCGCGCGGCCGCCCCGGCGCCCTCCGCCCCGGATCGTGAGGCCGCGGACGCGAACCGAGGGCTGCGGTCCGCCCCGCGCCGGCTCTGTGCGGCTCTGAAGACGGGGGTCAGGGCCGGGGAGCCCGCGGGATGGGGAGCTCGCCTGCCTGAGCGCCCGGTTCCACCCCTGCACCCACAAAAAAAACAGGTATTTTAAGTGAACACTTTTGGAGCTCTGCAACCAAAGTGACAGCTGCAAAGGCAGCAGTGCGATGCAGCACTTAGGCTGTGTGCCTCCGCAGGGTTGCCGGGCTCTGCAGGGTGACGTGTGCGTCCTTGCAGGCCTGTGGACGGCACCGATGAAGCCCCAGGTGTGATCCCCGTCAACGCCCTGGAGCCTAAGTGGCTTTTCGGCAGGTATAACACGACTGCTTTCCCGCCCTCTGCCTGAGGGCTACTCATAGCAGACAGTAGCTTCTAGCGCGGAAAAAGATGATGATACAGGGGAGAGGGTGCTGTTGACCTTGAAACTGGACCGGATACTGCAAGCACACTGACTCTCGCACAGGCTGAGCGGGCCTGGGTGCTGTCAGCCAAAGTGCGGCTTTGGCCGGAGGGGTCAGCGATTGATCCGGGGGCTGGTTACTATCTCAGCTTCACAACCCGTATTTCCAGATCCCGGAAAATACCCATCCGCTGCTGGTCAGGCAGAAGGCCGTAGTGAAATGCTGAATGTTGGATGTGCTCGAGGGTGGGACCCACAGGATTTCCGACGGATTGGAGATCAGTGTAAGAGAAACAGGAGTTAAGGATGGTCCCACATTAGGTTTTTTACCTGGGCCACTAGAAAGACGGAGCTGCTCCTTAGGAGCTGTAAAAAACCGCAAGAATGGGTTGTGAAGAAGAACCAGAAGATTAGGGCATAATGTGAGGCTCAGATACCAATTGAAATCCTACTAGGCTTATCAACCTGGAGATGAGCGGAAAGGTAGCGACTAGCGGTGAGCATTTTCATCATCGTTGTTAGTATGATCCATAAAACCGTGCACCCGGAGGAGCCCGCCTATGAAGACAGTGTGGAGTAAGCCTGAGCTCAGTACCCCGACATTTACCTTTTGGGAAGCCAAGAAGGGACATCCACCAACTAGGAAAAGAATTAAGAGACAGTTGTGTCTGGAAGCTAAATAAAACCAATATTTCAAGAAGGAAAAACGTGGTCAGCCAAGTCAGCATGATGTCAGATGAGGACCCTAATGTGATTCTCTCTCTTTTTTTTTGGTACCGAGGAGTTGAACTCAGGACCTTGTGCTTGTCAGGCAGGCACTTGTGCCGCTGAGCTACCTCCCTGCCCCTTTGGATGTGATTCTCGGCCTTCATAAATTTCACATCATTGATGACCTTGATCAGAGCGACGTTCGGTGTGGTAGGCAAGCAGAGACCTTATTGGAATCACTGCACAGAGAGTGGGGCACACGCTGCAGTTCATTTGTGGGGTGGGAGAGAGGGTAAGGAGCACAACATTTAAATACGGTAGACTGTATAGTACATTGGCTTAATGATGGAGATGACCTGGTCGGTAGGAAAATTCCTAATGTGAGACAAAAGGACAGGGAAATGGCCCAGAAGACATGCATTAAATATGCTTTAGGAATTGACTGAACAGACCAAATTTGACCAGCATCCAAGTTCTTCTTCTTGCAGTGGTTGTGACTGTTAAGATGGGGCCTTACGGAGCTGCCCCGGCTGGTGTTGAACTTTCAGGCTCAAGAGATCACCCTCCGAGTAGCCACCATGCCTGACGGACCCAAGTTCTCTTTCTTTTTCCTTTAAAATATTTGAGAAAGAAACACTGCTTTTCTACACCGTATCTTTCTAGATAAAAAGGATAATAGGAGGTCTGTATGGCTAGTTCTCAACTCAGGGTGGTTTTGGGCTAAGAAGACACGTTGTGACTTTTTGATGTCTCAAAGTGGGAGCAGGGAGAGAAGTTGCATTGAGTGGGTAGAGACCAGGGCTGCCATTAGCATTCCTAGAGGGAACTCAGCCTCCCACAGGGATTCTTCGGGGACGCAGCAATAGGGCTGAGGTGTGGAAACCACGTTCTTCATGTTCCCAAAGAAATGTTCAAGATTACATTCTTCACATTGTTGATAAATTACAACCAGCAGAGAACTGGTGCTATGATACATTAAAAGAGTGAGTTTCTCTCAGTAACTGCTTTCATGAAGCAGTCTAGAAAGCCTTTCCCAGACCCTCAGGGGAGATGAAAGGAATTAGCAGGGGGCTTTGATCATTTATAGAGCCAGGTTAAAGTAGGCCGATGCAGCTCAAAGAAATCATGTCAGTTGGTAAGCCCCCGGTGAAGGAGCCTGCCAGGAATGCTCCTTCGGGGCAAAGGTGCTGGGCTGAGGACCAGTTTGATGAGGTAAGCAGGCAATAATAAATATTCATAAATTGAAAGTCTCTCCTAGGCCTACATGACTGTGGTGAGACCCCCAGCTAGTTTAAGGAGAGATTAATCTTTTTTTTCCTTTTTTTGGGTTTTTTGTTTGTTTGTTTTTTATTGAGACAGGATCTCGCTGTGCAGTTCAGGCTGCCCTTGAGCTCACTTTGTAGCCCAGGCTGGTCTCAAATTTGCAGCGATCCCCCTGCCTCAGTCTCCCGAGTGCTAGGGTTACTAGCGTCCAGCTACACCACGACCTACACAGATTAATCTTTAAGCCAACGGCCAGAGCTGAGACTAGCAAACAGTCTGTGAAGTTCTGGTGCCTCAAAGTAAGATAATACAGCAGCTGAGGACTGGACTCACGTAAATTCGTCTAGCTCATAGTTGCAGTTAGCAGACAATCAGGTTACTAGTTAACCCGGATCTGTTCCTGTGCATTTCTCCAAAAATGCATTGCCCCTCAATTCTTGAACCTTGACTGTGTTTGCAGTTGACCCCCACCACTTCCTGTAGCCACCAGCAGCCCCCCCCAATCACCTAAGAAGGCCAAGGTGCACTGGTGCCTTGTGTCCTAGCCCGTCATTGGGCTTTGACCATCCTGGTGCCCGCTGTAACTAAAGTGCATGTTTTGTCTGTGTTTTATTCTATTGTTGTACCTCTGCACAGGAGCGGTCCTAGGCCAGGGCCTGGATAGTCCTGGGCCGTGTTCTGCCTTCCCACCTTCTTACCCACGGGGGAGTACTGCAGAGCAGGAAAAAAGTGAACCGCAAGCGCACAACTTTCCCGGATGCAGCCTTCCGGTGGCTGACAGCCTCGGGGGCGGAGGGAACTGAGTGTACAGGGGTGAGCCTGGTGGTGCCAAGGTCGTCTTGCCGGTTAGCCATAGCCGAACCTCGACCAAGCAAGGACAGGTTGGCCTTGAGGCTCCAAGCTCATCCCGTCAGGGATTCGGGGGAGCCGCCGGAGCTGCCCAGGCGGAGGCTCTGCCCAGGCGGAGGCTCTGCCGGAAAGGATGACGCTATTGCTCTGTTAGGTTTTTAATTATCTGAGTGAAAGCGTCTCCGCTCGTTTTCTAGAAAGCCCTGCAATCTGCTCCGGCTTCCGCGCCTCAGGCTTTTCACAACTGCGCAGTGAGCAGCCCATCTCTCAGCCGGTTTTTAGCTCATGGAGTGGGCTCGACCTGTTGCCCGGCAGAGCGAGGGAAACTGTGCTTTCATCAGAAGGCGCAGGGCGGGGTCCCCAGGGAATTTCACAGAGGACCTGGCACCCAGGGCTGCCTCTGGAGCCACTTCCCGGGAGCATCAGGCTCTGAGAATTGGTGGTGTGATCCTTCGCCGCACACAGGGAAATGAGTAATGGCATGGACTCAGCAGTACCGCTTTCCTTTAATTAATTAATTTGTTTTGCAGTACCGAGGATCGAACCCGGAGCTTTCACCTTGAGTTACATCCCTAGCCCCTTTGTAATTTTACACTTTTTATTTCGAGACAGAGTCTGGCTAAGTTGCTAGGTTACCTAGACTGGGCTGGAACTTGAAATCCTCCTGCCTCAGCCTCTCAGAACACTGAGATTACAGGCATGGGTTCCTGGACCGCTCACAGATCCCAAAATCTGAGGGTGCCCAAGACCCTTTTATAAAATGGCATAGTATGTGAGTATAACCCACGCACACCTTCCCGTACACCTTGAACCTTTAGGACACTTATAATACTAAAAGTAGTGTGTCGGGGGAGCAGAGGGGTTTAAAAGTATGAGACCCAGAAACAACGAAACAGAAGAAGCAGAAAATCTAGTTTCCAGTAGGGAAACCGTCGAACCCAAACATGACTGGATTTGGCCCAGCGTGGCTGGTGCTCTCTTGTTTCGTATCCAGGAGACAGGATCACATCAGCAGCCTGCAGGAATCTGAAAGGGAGCCCAGAGGCCCGCAGGCCGGGAGGTGTGGGCCGAGGCACGAGGACAGAGGAAACGGATGGGGAACAAGGGCAGCGGTGGGGGCATCGTGCATGGAGCAGCAGAGAGGGCTAAGATTTTAAAAACTAGACCACGGGACAGCTACTGCCATGACAGAGATGCACTGGGGCCTTGGGTTCAGTCCCCAGCACCAAAATAAACAGACTCCAAAACAAACCAAAAAAAAAAACAGAAATCGGTTTCTCCAAAGGCACAGAGTAGCTGGCAGCCGTGCGTTAGAGGGCGGGATTTGCAGGCGTGGGGAGCAGTGCAGGGGGTCCTTGCCATGAGATGTCGTTCTTACGCTGGCACCTGCTCTCTGAAGGTGAGGGAGCAGGCTCGGAAAGGTGAGATACCAGGCTGAGGTCCGGACCTGCGAAGCTGTCAGGGGAGGCCGAAGAGCTCAAACATCTGGCTGACGGCTTTCCAGTGCTCACACTGCTTCCCAGGACATGCGAAGTCAAAGTGTGGAAACTCTGGCGACCCTGCTTAGGGCTGTCCTCGGGGGATGTCACATCGTGCAGTCTGTGTCAGATTGCGGCCCTGCCCTGCAAACACGGTGGGCAGTGCCCCCATAATAACTGGGAGCAGGGAGGGAGGGACCCCGAGAGACGGCAGCTCTTAAGATTATAATCTGAACGTTCCCAATGCCCCGGGACAGCATCGTCTTCCCAAGGTCGCAGAACAGTCCACTTCTAGATATTTGGGTGATGCCGCTCTAAACAAACCCACTCCGCTGGCTGTGGTAGGATAGCGATGCAATTATGCAGACTCTTATCACTTAATAGTAGAAATAAACAACTGCGTACTGGTTTACATATTTACTATTCTTTTATGGCTATTTTATAGTACACTGTAATATGGTGTGCTTGGGGACACTAGCAGAAGCATCATGCATACTGTATTTGTATGCTTTTAATCATAGCACTCTAGGAGGCTGAGGCAGGAGGACTGTAAGTTTGAACCCAGCCTGGAGAATTTAGTGAAATAATAATAATGATGATGATGGTGATGATGATGATGATGATGATGATGCCTGGAGATGTCGCTCAGGGTGAAGGCCCTGGGTTCAGTCCCCATACTGGGTTATAGGGAGTGTGCTGAGTGACCTCTGCTCTCTGGATCTGTGTAAGTATTGTACTCTATGATCAGTTCACACGGATGACAAGATTACCTCATGGCGCATTTCTCAGAGCACATCCCACTGTTACATGACATAATCTTCCTAATGAAGCTGGGGTGGCTGTCTTACCGAGAAATCTCCCCCCTTTTAGAATTTGGGAAAAATTCCAAACAGAAATGCTGCAATAAAGTACAGCACAAGCTTTGTTTGGGGTTACAGCAGAGTCTTCCTGTATCTTCAGTTCATCAGAATCAGACAGGCAAGTGTTTAAGTTCTTTGGTTGGGCCGTGCTCTCTCTTTGATGGCTGCTGTGGTCACTGCAAAGGGTGACTTAACCTTAGAAGGTCGGAAAACCAAATGGAAAACCCTGAAACCACAGACATTCTCGTCTTTTTGGAGGTAGATGTCTGAGTTCCTGGAATATTTTTCAGGCAGTTCTTCAGGATGGCGATGATACCGGACAGGAAGATTCTTGGGGACAGACCTGGTATCAGATCCACCTGTTATCCCTGGAACCCAGAAGCTGGCGTCACATTCCATGAATTTGGTGTGGAGAAAATGGTGGAGATTGGTGCCACAGGAGGCTGAGTCACCTTGGCCAAAACTGAGGTGGTGTTTGTAGATGGGCATAAATCAGGAGCTCAGAAATGGTAATTTAATGAACACAGTCACTTTTAGAAGAACAGATGCTACTGATGTAAGGGTCACGACACAGCTCTGCAGCAAGGCTGCTTCGTACTGAGAATTCTTATTTCTATCCTGTCCCTGAGGCTGGGTGCTGGGAGTTGGGGAGGAAGTGGATCAGTCTGCCAGGATGGGCCGACTGCATTTCTGGAGCTCAGGGCCTGTCTGTCAGAGCCACAGCCCAGCTGCGTCTGGTCCTCTCTGTCTTCCTCTCTTGTCCCATTTTCACTGGAGCTTTTAAGCCGCCTTTGAAACAGGAGCAGCTAAGAGCCTGTCTGTGCCTTTAGCTGCTTTAATTCTCTCCCAGGTCCTCTTTCCCCAAAAAGACACAGCGTAGGAGGTGCTCTACAGTCTGACCTGCTAACAGAGCCAGACCTCTCAGCAACAGAACCAAGCAAGCCGATCCAGGTTAAGACACAAAATCATAAAAACCCAAGATGGCTAAACACACTCTATTTATGATCTATAAAAGAAGGAGGTAGACCATTTAATTTGATGGTGCAGTGACTGAGTTTTGATCCTAAAAGTCTAACCTTTAAAACAGGATTTCCTCAGGGTAGAAGAATCAATCCACCGCTTTACACCTGAGCCGGCAGATCACCCCTGCCAGGGACTTAGTTTCTTTTCATAGCCTTTGAATAGACAGCGCTAGGATAATTCAGTCTGCCCATTTTCTCTTTCCTGGGGATTCAGAACGGAATCATCTGTTTGTAAAACACTTGAGGGCTCCTCACCAGATAGTGGTCAGCAACGTAGGTGTGGAATGCCCCAGCGGATAAAACATTCCCCCTCACATTCCTCACGGTGGGCATTTTCTTCCTTCCTTTCAGGCAAGGAAAGAGAATTCTGCAAGGAGAATGTGGCCTGGCCACATTTTACTTTGCAAATGATCAGAAGAATGGGGTCAGTCGTTGTTACTTTGTGATTGGTGGACGCAGCCTATGATTGCTAACTGACAGTGAGCTCTTTTGCATGCAGAGAGAGGACCCGACTGTTTATGTCAAAGTAGCAAGCAAAGCCCTGCAGTGCTGGGGACAAGCCGCGCACCCAGAAACCGAAAGCACCGTCCCACCAGCTGCGGAGAGGCTGGACCAGGTAAACTGGAGGCTCTTGGGATTATTTCCTCTGCTTTCCATGCGGCTGCATGTGGTTTTCGGAGGTCGTCGCTAGATGGCACTAACTCACTAGTGTTCTCTCCTCAAGGTGAGAAAATCTGTAGGCCCCTTGCATGCAAAGAAACTGAGATTTAGAGAATTCATGCAGCTTTCCCAACCGTGCGCCCCAGGTAGGTACTAGAGACAGCGCTAATCCAGCTATCTCTGAACTCACAGGATTAGCGAGCTTTGGATCATTCTTGTGACTTGAATTGGGTGCAGTGAGAAAAGCCAGAACCTTTGAGAAGTTCAGTCTGAAGTGGGGAGCAAAGTTAGCAAACTGAACTGTTTGTGGTAGAAGTGAAAAAATAGCTACGACTTGTTTGTGAAGTTTATAAATGGTCTGAGGTTGTCCCTGCCCAGCACAAAGTCAAGGAGACATTCTGAAGCCAACTCTCCTCTCAGTTGAATTTTTCTGAAAGGAGGTAGCTCTGAAGATGAGGGGACAAGGGCAGATTAAACAGCAGATCTTCTTGGGTTTGGTTCTCAAATGTATGAGCCCTTTCCGAAGATGATGTTGTTGCTGACCCATTAATTTTCTCTATGTCCTTTGTGACGATGCCTCCGCTACAGCTCTATGCAGTGTGAAGGAGACATCAGTAAAAGTTTCAGGGCCAAGCGGCATGGATTTCCCGTCATTCACCCCACACAACCATGTGCAGAGCGAGAGGCAGGAATCTCCGAATGTGAGACAGGCTAATGTTGACTTGCAGGGAGTCAGGCATAGCACACATCCTGGCCTTTAATCTCAACCTACCCAGTAAAACTCGTACTGCGTTAGGGTTCCCTGGGGCCCCCTGCCCTGCTCACTCACAGGGTGTTACTGAAGCTCATAAGCAGGGAAACTGGCCTCCATCCAAACAAGCTGACCCCAAAGCCCAGCTCTTCACCTTAAATCCACGGCTCCCACCAGCCGTGCTACACGGCAGCCAGCGAGGGCTCCGGTTGTTGTAATGCCAACTTAAATCTCACTTCCATTTCAAAGAGGTTTCAAGCACATTATTGAATTCGATACTAACAACAACCCAAAGAAAAAGGGAGCTTAGACTGTCTTATCACTACAAACCTGCCCCTCAGCGCACACACACACACATGCCCACACCCGCACGCACACAGCTCCAGGAGGGTGTGGGTTACCTGGGTTAAATCTCTGAGCTAGGTGGGGGCCGACGCTGGACTGGAAACTGTTGTCAACTTTCCCTCCACCCGCAGTAGCGACACCCCTTTACTGTCCTGCTACTTAGGAAAAAGAAGTAGGAACACCAAATGCACCACGTGTCTCTGAGATCACTTAAAAGCTGTTTTCGCTGGGCGTGGTGGAGCACGCCTGTAACCCCGGCACTTGGAGGCTGAGGCAGGAGAATTGTTGCAAGTTTGAGACCAGCCTGAGCTACAAAGTGAGCTCAAGGCCAGCCTGAACTTTATAGCGAGACCTGTCTCAAAAAGACAAAAAAAAAAAAAAGCTATCCTCAAAGAAGAACCTAAGAACCTAAACATGCTTTTTCAAATATTTTACCTCAGTGAACACATGCAGTGGTTTATATGCCTGTGTAAAAGTCAGCGTGTAGCACAGTGCCTGCCTGGCAAGCGTGAGGTCGTGAGTTCAATTCCTGGTTATGAAAAAAGAAGAAATCAGCACGTGTGGGTTTTGTCTGGTGTGAATAGAGATCGGTACTTGATGGGCGTAAGCAGACTGTAACGGAGGTACAAAGGGAAACAGCTTTGTTTGGGTGGAGTCCGGAGATCAGGCTAGTTCTCATGCGGCCCCAGTTCTGGAAACCCAAGGTGAGGAGAAAGTTACCCAACGGAAGGGGCCTGGGTAGCAGTCAAAGATGTGAAGCCACCAGGGGAGTCACGCGGGGTCATCAGATTCCTCCCCAGGCAGAGGAGGCCTGCGAGACCTCCGAGATCCCTACCTGGCAAGGAATGGATCTTAACCCGGATGAGGTCTGGAGCCTTGCTAGGTTCTATACAGGATCCAACACTTTTAAGGACCATCTTAGATTGAGAACCAGGTGAGGCATTTTCCGTGATCACTTTTGAAAGCGGATGTGTAGATGGTGGGAAAATACTGCTACAGAAAATTTGAAAGAGTTTCTTTCTGGAGCCAAGGAACCCGTCCTTCGGGCCTGAAGGTAGAACAGGCGGGATGCCCAGCCAGCAGGCGACTCCGGCCACCACCGAGAGGGGGCGCTCGCGACCAAGGCACCAGTCGCTCCGAGTCGCTTGGCCTCCCGCGCTGCAGATGGCCCCTAGGGCCGAGCTGGAGCGCAAGGGCGTCGAAAGCGTGCTCAGCAAGAAGCCGACCCCAGGGTGACAAGCTTCGCGCAGGATTAAAAGGAGAGGAGGCCTGACAAGACCTCCCAGGCCTGCAGCTCCCTGGGGCCACGCCTCGGTGTGTGTGGGAATCTGGGCTCCGGAGGGCTGCCGGGAAGGTGTGCGGGTGCCCTGGCCGGGCGAAGGTGCGCCCTGCAGGACCGGGCCGCCTCCGCGTGCTTTCCACCGCAAGGTGCAACTGCCGTCCTCAGGGAGGAAACCTGCAGCGAAAGGGAATGAAAACTTTGGGATCCAGTAAGGCGTAGCGCAAGTTCAACAACTCTTAGGAAGCAAGATAAGAGGGTCTGTTTCCTGCTTAAACTCAGGAGACCACGGGCATCTTCTTACACCCTTCGGGGAATGCGGGCGCCTTTCATCACCAAGAAAGAGAAAGCATTTGAGTAGCACCTTCTGATGGACCCGCGTCCCCAGTTACGCCTGATCTCCCCAAAGACGAACCCGGGCAGCAGCCGCCTGGACCGTACTCTCCTAGATCCTTCTAGTTCCGTTAAGATGAAGTTGCTTCCCTGAATTCTTTCAACCCATTAACAAAACACGACATCAACAATTTTTTGAGCATCTGCCATGTGCTGGGCCCCGTTAGACCTTAGGAACAGAGGAGATTTATGCGGGTTAACTGGTGTCGCGGAATTTATAGTCCACATATACGTCTCTCTTGGTTATTTCCATCCTGATAGTCCTAAGGACTAGGCCACACTCCCACCAGGAACTGGCACGCGCACAGGCAAGTTCGAATCTCAGGGGAGATGGCGATCGTAACCTGCCTCCCGACCCGCTCTACGTTTCCGCAGACATCTCACCCCTTCTGTGGGAATGGCAAGCGAATATCTGAAGACGATTACCCGGGAGCCTGCCCTACCACAATCTCTGCTTCTTCAAGCTAAATACGCCACAGGATTCAAACTGCGACTGCTGTGTTCTCGCAGAGAAGATTGGCTCAGGGCGTGCTAGGGGAGCAGCTGTAATACCTCTGTGGTTGGTGGAACCCGGTCCGTCAGGCAGACCCGATGGCTGAGGAGAGCAGAGGCAGTGGGCAGGCAGAAGCCTGAGCTACGTGCAGGGAGGGCCCCCTGGACGGGGTTTCCCGTGAGGCCAGCTTCCGAGGATCCACCGGAAGTGTGAGGACCCAGGGACTAGAGAGGAGAGGCGGATGTCTGCCTGCCCCGGCTTCTCGTCTCTCTGCATTCTAAGGCACAACAATAAATCATCCCTCGAGGGAGCTGGAGAGGAAGCAGAAGAAAGCGTATTCTGCCCTGATTGGCAAAAGTCAAGATTTAAAGAGAGAGAGACAGAGAGAAGAAGAAGAAAAGAGAAGCGAAGATAAAAATCATTCCAGGGTACAGAGCTGGAATGTTTATAATGCAGAGAGACAGTTGGATTAAAGGATTAGGCCCCACAGCCTGATTAAGATCATTTGATCTTTTGCTATTGAAGAGACTCTGTGTGTTTTCAAAGGCTTTTTAAATAAAACCAGGAGTCTGGGTTAACAGAGAGCTGTTAGGAGCGAAGGCAACTCTCTTTCTTCTTGGTTTCGTGAGCATTTTGTCCCACCTCCTTCACAGTGCTCAGTTTGTTCCTCTCTGCTAACAGGGGCTGCCTCTACCCCTCAAATCTGGGGCTCTGGTAGACTTGGTAGGGTAAGAACCACCACCTACACTAGTAGTGATCTACATTGGCCAGGTCAGACCTGTGCCCACGTGATCCCTACGAGTGTCATTCCAGGGAGCTTCCTTTCCTGTTCTGCTCTTATTTTCTCTCTAAATCTTTTGCGCCCTCTCCTCTCCGCCATGAGCCGGTAATCCTCTGCGGCTTTGTCAAGAGGTGAGCACATCCTCAGGCGGTAGCTGTCGTCCTGGTGCCCCTTCTGTCTCACTTAGCTGCTTTCCTTCGCAAGTTGCCGGTGAGCCTGAGCTCCAGAGTTTCAGAGCGATCAGGTCTTTCCCTGTGCCAGCTTGGGGCAGCATACAGTTGGGGAACGGAGGCCTCCTACGCCCACGCTGCCATGTCAGGGTGGCCGAGCTTTTGGTCGTGCTGAGGACCAAGCGAGAGAATGGGCCAGTCTCTGTGGCCCATTCAGCTCCCGGCGTCACTGCCAAGCCAGCCAACAAAGGGGCATTGTAATCCTGACGGTTTCCCAGCAGTGACGGGACAGGCGCAGACCACCAACCAGCTCATTCCGCTCCTCCTGTTCACTAGTGAGGCCATGAATGGAAACAAGTCCGTGGCAGAAATCCCACATCCTGCTGAAGCCGGGGTGGGGTTGGGGATCCTTTTCCAGCGAGCCAGTCTCCTCTCAAGTTGGTGATCCCAGACCTGTTTTCGCTCTCTGCCTGTTTGTTTTTAAGTACAATTAGCTTGAGCAGTAACATCATCCTCATGAAAACCTACAAAGGGTTAGGTGTGAGTTTTAAAAAAAATACGGCATGCAATGTAGTTTGGACGACTGAAAGTATAGTAAAGATAGAACTCCAAAAACGTAAACAGACAAACTGAGAGAAGCTTTAAAGACAAGCTTCTGTGAGAGCACAGTGGTTGTTAAATAACTGAAGTCAAGCACATCAATATAGTTTCCAGCAATAAAAGGGAATTACTTGACCCCATTTCAAATTTCCAGAATGCAACCAAAAGTCTTTCTGAGGACCAAGAGAATGACAGCTACAATGTTGATTTTAAAGGTAATAATAACACAGATGAAATGTTTAGGAACCAAGAGAAATCAGAGGTATTTAGCATGTGTTTATCATTGGTGGAAAGTTAGAAAACATTTTTAATAATCAGATAAAATGATCCTCTAACACATTTCAGTAGGGAATGTGACATGGTTTCATTTCTTTAAGTTGCTTTTCTCATATGTACAAATCACAAGAAAGGGATATTGCATTTACTTATGAATGTGACATTCAAACAATGGTTGCTATTCTGTGCTGCCAGAAGAGATATGATGTTCCAACTGGATCCACAGTTTTAAAACGCAGTTTGGCAGGATCTTAGCAATAGTTTTCTTCATTGACTCAGTCATATTAATTCTTACAATATATTTTACATGTATATATAGTATATATGTTTTATATCTAATATTAAAAAAAAGATGGGAAAAATCAAGACAATATTACTCATCAATTAAAAAAATAGCAAAACCAAAATCATGAAAGAACAAAGTCTCCAAACATAGTGAGAATAATACAATATTTATTAAGTGAATTGTCAGCCATAAGTAAATCTATGTGATGAGCTACCAGGCAGCTGTCAAAACTCATGTTTCCAAAGATTCTTAATAATATTGGAGAATAATTCTTCATCTTAGGTGAAAAGAGAAATTATAGTTGATTGGGTGGTACCCATTTTAGCTTACAAAAGTACAATGATATTAATGGTCATTACCTTCACCTTTGGAATTATGGTTGATTTTCCATTGTTTAGGACTCCTGGGAGATTGGATGTGACAAATCTCCGGGGGACTAATTTTTCAACATTCCTCTCAAAATTGTGCATCATTTTTATAATTATATCTGAAAAAAAATTATTTATTTTTGTGCTACTTGGGGTTGAACCCAGAGCCTTCACACTGAGCTGTATCCCCAGAGTATTAAAATTTTGAGATAGGGCCTCCCTAAGTCACTAAATTGCCCACACTAGGCTGTAATTTGAGGTCCTCCTGTCTCTACCTCTCAGAATGCTGGGATTATAGGCATGCACCAGGATGCCAGGCAAGAAAATAGTTATTTTAAGAAGGCTTCTTTCTTTTTTTAAAGGAAATAAAGAGCACAGACTCTACAGTTCTACTTTCCTCACTCTCAGGAGCTTTACTTAAACAGGATTAAAATGATTCAGCACCTTAACCTGTTACCTATGAGGCCCTGCTGAGGCAATCAGGATCATTTTTGCTGCTGATTAACCTGATTTCATTTGCTGTATTTTCTTCTCCATCCATCTGTAGAAGGACACAAGAGGTGAACAGCTCAGGCGGCTGCATCTTTTGTGTGTGCTGCTGCCCCAGTACGGGGTGTGGCTGGTTTGAGATCAGTTCATTCCCATGGGCTGATTGCTGAGTCTTGAGCAATGGTGGAGGAAGCAATGTCCAGTCACAGGTATAAAAACTGTGAGAATCACAGCTCTTTCATCCCTCCGCCCGTATATTTTTTTTTCAGTCTATTTCACTGATAACATACAAGTGTTTTTTTCTTCTAAACTCCAAGAAGATAAGCACTGTGTCTTTCCTGTACTCCCTGATTCAGTTAGCAATTTGTTCATGGTATTCTGTGGAGTGTTTTAGCAGTCAAGAGCATACACGCTGGATTTTGACCCAGTATGTTGGTCAGCTTTCTGTTGCTATAACAAAGTACCCAAAGAAATCAACATCAAAGGAGGACAGGTTGATTTTGGCTTGTAGTTTCAGAGCCGTCAGTCCAGGGTTACTTAGCTCCCGTTGCTTCTGGACTTACAGTGTGGCAAGGAAAGTAAGCAAGGAAGGGGCTGGGGACAAAATACACCCTTGGGGAGCATGATCCCAGGGCTGCACTTCCTCCTACTCAGTCATGTGGTAGTTTCACCACCTCCCAATACCTATTGATCCATCCATGGATTAACCCATCGATAGGATCAGAGCCCATGTGTTCCTCACCTCTTATCTCTATAAACACTGCTGCACTGAGGACCAAGCCTGGAACCCATGAGCTTCTGAAGAGCAGTCCAGAGCCAAAGCATAGCTACAGGAGGGCAGCACCAGCCGGAGACCAAGGCTATAGCTGGCCGTGTTTTACAGTCCTGCACTCCCTTGCTCCTGCACTTAGACTCGAGGAGGACACAGGCTCAATGGGAGCAGCCTTCTGGGTGCTGCACTCCCCGCACACGCCCTGCCACAGTCGGGACACCAGAGATGCTGGAATCCCGTTCACATGGCCGAGCGTCTTTCTGACCTGCTTGGCCCCCTCCAGCTCTGTCATCTGTGCACCCCGGAGCCACTCAGAGCACCCAAGGGAAGCCAAAGAGCAAGGATTCTGCAGGGGCATGGAAGGGCTCTGCCTTCCAGGCTTGCATCGTGATATCATGAAGTCAGGGGGGTGTAGCAGAGTGAAAGCTCAGCAGTACTGTCACTGATGCACTCCCTCTGTACATTGCTATATGAAAATTTCTGCTTTGGGAGAGAATGAAAAAATAATCAGGAGAATACAAGCTTCTAGGTGAAACTACTTTAATTTTTGATATAATTTATAATGGAAGCTTTTTTTCTTCAATAACTCTGCAATTGTCTTGGCCAAATTCCAATACTCTGCATTCAGGCTAATTCTATTCCTCCCCCACTGGATACATTATTCTTCACTTCCCCCATAAAAACCATCATGTTATACTGGTGAAACAAAATAGCTTCTGTGTTCCACCACCCATTTACAAAACCGTTGCATGTCAATCTGTGGTGTGTTGGGCTGCACTGGGATCTGCTACAGCAACCGAGGGCAATCTACTCTTTTGAGTAAGGAGAGATTTGCTATCAAATGGGGCAACAACACAAAATACATTCTCCTGCTATCGTACTGTGGACAGTTTTTAAAGCATTACTGGGAGATGGAGCAGATGTGAGCTGCTGGGATCACCACTAAGTCACTGCATTACCAAGCAAGGCTTTTGCCTCAGCCCTTTGACTTTTTCTAATGCCAGAAGGTCTGAGCCTTGATGAAATCTGGCGTAATTAAGAGACTCTCCCTGAATAATTAAGAGAAACACCAAGGACTGCGAGGAAGTCACAGCTCTTGTTTCTTTCCCTTGCTCTGAGATTAGCTCCCTCAAGTCTAAAATTCTCTTTTAGCCACTGATGCAGGAGCGTGAGTTTCATTTCTTGAGTTCACAGCACACAGAGTGGGTGAGCAGGTGGAATAACAGTGGCAAATGTTCACAGGGGGAACAGCAGCTTGCGATGCGGGCTTCCCCTAACAAGTCCTTTTGAGGGGGCTGGAGCGGGGGAGGAAAGGGGCCCAGGGTGGGAAAGCGCGGTCTTGTCCGTTTCAGTAACTTTTAAATCCTGGTTTCAAGCCCTTCCTGCTTGCAAGAAACATCCCTAAATCTAAATGATTCTCAATGTTTCCCTTTTAAAGGCGGGATTAGGGGCTCAGAGCTGACTGTCTGTTCAGAGGAGGGTCTTCGGGGAAGGAAGGTGGGTCACTGAGTGTGGCCTGGAAGAGTTTTTCTCCCTCTCTGCTCCTCCCTTCTCTTCAGGCTTCCTGGCCGCCCCAGTGCCTCCACCGCGCCCTCTCTCTGCCACACAAACTGAAATCTCGAGCCCCAGCAGACCCCTGCTCCCTTAATGAGGTGGGTGTTGTGTCTCAGTGACAAGAAGGGACCTGGGATGGTTGCTTGTGTTTCCCATCAAAGTAATCCAAGTCTATGACGTTTCTGCCTTTGCTGTCTACATTTGCAGTGTGAAAAGGTCTTCTCATTCTACATCTCCACCGCTAAGGTACAGCAGACTGTTGGGCAGTTACAGGGGTCATTTGGGCCACATAATTTTGGGAGGATTCAAACACTTGAACGATTCAATGAAAACTAACTAATATACCAGACTGATTGTAAAAACTCATCTCAGTTGTTCACCTTTTGGTTTGTATCTATGGAGGTATAGGGTTTTTTTCTTCACTCATTGCCTTATTTCTTTGCCATGGCTGTGAGATTTACATTAGTACCTGTTGCTGCTGTCATTTTGTGGATGAGATAGAGCCTTTTCTCCAGGCTGCATTCACGTCAGTGATTCCAGAACAGTTTCTTTACCATGCTATGGGTCTAACTGGTCTCAGTGTAATCATGGCTCCGCAGGGCTGGGATGCTGCGTGTTATTTCACAAGATGTGCTACTGCACACATGCACTAGGCACATAGTGAGAATGTCCTGGTTTTCAATTCCTACAGCAGATCTGAACGCTTTGGCTCATGGTGGGAGTTCAAATGACCAGAGACCTAAACAAATAAGGAAGGAATTAGGGGGCTGACGAAACTCGTTGATTAAAGCTTCCGTTGAATAACCAGTGAGTTGGGATGTAGTCAAGAAAGAATACCTGTTAATTTGGTAAAGGTTGCAAAAGCAAAACTTGTGGTTAAAACAAAGAAGCTCATCTAAACACTAGAGAATGAAGTCAGAAGCAGTATGAGCACTGATTGTAGCCATGGAAAAGACATGTTGGAGTAAGACTTGGATTTGGAGCTTGGATTGGTCATTTACTAGCTATGTGGTTGGGGCCCAATTTCTTAGCTGTTTTTCTTATATTTTTATGAGTGACTGTTTGTGATACACAATGACTACTTCCATTTTGGGTGTTTGGTACATGTACCTGACACATCTGAATTCTCTTTTATCTCCTCTTCCCCTCCCCCTCCCCTCCTCGGGCCTAAATTGTCTCCTCAGCCAAACAAGGACAAGAATAGCTTTCCCAGCTCGCATACACTATCTCTGTGACATTTATTGCTATAATGTGCATAAAGTGTTTAACTTAATGTTTGGGACAAAACGTATTCAAGAAATAGAAATTATTGCTTTAGTTAAAACACCAATGCCACTTGCAGTCATATCCTGTGAAAAGGAAAATCAATAAGTGACATATATACTGCTTTCCAAAATAATCCAAAAAAAGAAGACCCAAGGAACCAGCACGAGAGCATATGAAGCTATTATTCTGCCTGGTAGCATTCAAGGTGTTGCACTGGGAATTTGAAATTTTATTTAAACTCTGTGAGCTTTACTATACTGATACCTCAATAGAAGGAGGCAGAGTAGCAATCTTCTCAAAGCAAGCATCTCTTTGAGGTTTCTACGGTTCTCTCAGTAATATTACTTTGACTATTCTGGCTCAAAGCTCTCAGTTTTTATGATTTTAGCGCCTTCACCTTGTAACCAGCCTTAGGAGTCTCACTGAGTCCTTCCTTTCCATCCCCTTATCCAACACACAACTGGTGCTCGCTCACCTGTGCCTCATCGTCGTTTTGTGCCTGCAGGGGCAGTGAGGAGCCCATCGCTCCCTAATCCCGAGTTCCTGTCTGTGAGGAGTCCTGTAACTCAGTCCTGAAGTCACATGACTTGCGATGGTGAGATTGTCCCAGGTGTCATGTGTTCGGACCATTTCATGAGCTCCTCTGGCTGGCTCCTGCAGCTGCCTGCACAGCCCTTTCAGCTGCCCTGCTCCAACCATTCTGACCTCACTGTGAACACCCTCCAGCCCTGTCAAACAGTTGCAGACATGCCAGACCATGCTTGCTACCCATCACTTTGGGAGGCCACGGCAGGAGGAATGCAAGTTGGACCCAGCCTGGATACTCAGTGATTTAGAGAGACCCTGTCTTAAAAAAAAATGACTAGGATGTAGCTCAGCATGTAGTCCCTTGGTTCAATCCCCAGTGTCACCAAAATGAAAGAAAGAAAGAAAGAAAGAAAGAAAGAAAGAAAGAAAGAAAGAAAAAGAGAAAAGAAAGAAAGAAGGAAGGAAGATAATTCAGAAGGCCACAGGAAAATGGACAAAAATGATGTGCAAAGTTTTTCAGTTTGGCCATAAAATCTTCTCGAAGAAAAGTTCCCTCTCTCTGTCTCTGTCTCTCTGTCTCTGTCTCTCCTAGTTTGATAGATGAAAGCAGATAATCCCTCAGAAGACCCTGGGGCTCCATGCCATAGAGGACTATAACATAGGAAGACTCCAGGTCCCTGTTTTAAAAGGAGAGTCATCCAACCCAAGCCACTTATGCTGGATGGCTGGAGGAGTGAGAAGCACCCTAGTATTTTGTTAGGCTATTTCATTTTGGAGTTTTGTTCCAAAGACATTAATGATGTTCATACTGGCACCAGGAAAGGGGGAAGGGCTGTTGTTTCAAAGACCTAGAATATGTGGCATTGTCTTAGTCAGCTGTTGAGCAATGACATCACTGATACCGGGGGCAGGAAATAGGAAATAGGATGTCCTGTGCTACGCAGCAGTAAATGACTGCTTAGAACTACTGGCTGTGATGACGTGGAAGACAGTCCTCCAGCCTACTGACCTGGTAGCTGTAGTGGGAGTAGTTGGAAGAATCATTGTTGGATCTCTTCACCGTCATTCGCTGAGAAAGAGACCTGTTTACAAACAGAAATGAAAAGGAAATGGTTAGCTCTGAAACTCGGTGCACTAAAGCTCTGGAAAAATCAGTTGCTGCTGAGTAACTCAACAGTAAGATGGAGAAACACACAAGGTTCCGAGGGATAAAGAACCAGTCAAACTTCTCCATTAAACAAAATGACTTAGACCTAGAGGAAAGATCAAATTAAGATGTCGCCTTCCAACTTATTGTTTCAGATCACCCTGGAGAGCTGCCAATATGTTGAAAGATAGAGGCGTAGGGCCTCATAGAGCTTGGTAATAAATCAGGTTGAGAACAATGCCTAAGAAAGAACTCTGAGTGTGCTTATTTGCACATGGAACCAATTAGAAGCAAATGGACCAATGATTTGCTAAGCTTTGAGAAAATTAAATAACCAAAGGAAGCATAATCCCACATCAAAACAAATCCCACACTTTTGCACCATTTTTCACTTTAAACATCCTTTGGCCACCATCTTGTACCACTAGAAAGTAGATTCTAGTCTCTCTAAGAGAGTTTTGATCTCTCACCTCAGAAGAATAACAATGAAAAACTTATCAGAAGGAAGACCAAGGATGACAGTAAACCACAGCAAAAGCTGCCTTTTCAGTCTACAGAGGAGCAGGAACTTCTGAGAACAGGGACTGTATGATGTGCCCGGCAGGGTTGGAGGCCAGTTTTGCCCAGAAGCTGCTATGTATCTGTTTTTTCCTTTCCCAAACAGAAGATTCCATTGTGATTCTGCTATTACAGTCCACTACCAATAGGGGGTGAAGAGGTAGGTAATTTGTTATTGAGAATGCGAGTCGCAGAGACATACAGGGAAGACTTCACATCACCTAGAAGTCCTGGATGTGAGTCGGACACAGTGGCTGAATGGGATGAGAATTGCTTTCCACGGGAGAGAGTGAAGTTTTCCACATACCAGAGAATGAGTGAGGCAGAGGTGTGGTGTCCATAGTGGCAGACCATGGTGAGGACTGGTCAGGTGTGCACCTTACTCCTTGTCTCCTCCTGGTGCAGAGCTGGACCACACTTCTAGTTCCACTTCTCTCGAAGCTAAGGGCAGCCACAAGACTGCAGCACACAGGACATGGCAGAAAGGGATGCACAACGCTCCAGCTGGGTCCGTAAAATGAACTCTGGTGTTGCCTCCTCTGTAACCCTGATGGCAGGTGCAATAGGAGGAATGTCCTCCAGCACATAAAATGATCAGGGAGCCATGAGTGAGGCTGAGCCCTGAGTTCCTACTAAAAGATGTGCAACCTAGAAGTGCTGCCTAATCAAGAACGTCCTGCTGGAGTTTTACATGAGCAAGAAATGAACTTTACTTGTGTTAATGTACTGAAATTTTGAGACTGTTATAGTAGCGAATGGTTGGCTCTAACTAATGCAGGTCCTGTGTAGAAAAAGCCAGGAGAGGGGCATTACTGCTTCATACACAGTGGTTAGGAAAATCTGAGTTACAAGGCAATAGTTGGCAGGCATCTGAAAAATGGAAAGCTTGGGGGACGTTGAAGGGAAGAACATTTCCAGCAGGGGGACCAGGAAGAACAAATTCTCTATCAAATGGACAAATATGCTTAGCAAAGAAGCTGTGAGTAGGCTAGGGAGAGTGGTAGGAAATTACAGAGCATTGTCAGTGACTTTGGAGTTTATTCTGCCTGAGAGGAAGCCAGAGATGTTTGAATAAAGCAATGTTTTTATCTACCATATAGCTTAGAAACTCCTTTTAGCCACTAGGGTGTGGGGGAATTGCAGTCAAGAATAGAAGCAGGGAGCCCACTGGGGAGGGGCGGTTACAGAGACCCAGGTGACAAGTGACAGAGGCGGCAGTGAAGGTGGTGAAAGGCCTGGATGCTGGATGTATTTTAAACAGACAGGCTTTGCGCAGGAACGGGATGTCAGTTGTAAAAACAAAAAACAGAAACAGGTGTCCAAACAACCCCAAGGTTTTCAGACTGAGCCACTCACAGGGTAGAGCTCTAAACAGTGAGATGAAAAGATCGCAAGAGGAGTGAGTTCTGAGACAAAATCAGGAGTCAGCGATGGACAGGGCAAGTTTGATGCTGACCTTTGTTTTTATTACCAGATCACTGCTACCTGCTTCTGTCCTTCCAGCCTGGTCCTTCTCACTCTGAGAACTGTGTTCTCTGCTAACTCAACCCCCTCAGTTCAAACATCCACCACCACACCACCACCACCACCATCATCACCACCAGCATCACCAGCATCACCAGCATCACCACCACTGCTACCACAAACCCCACAAAGCCACAGAACTCCTTCAGCAAGTACACCTTCCTGTATCTGAGACTGGATGACGTATGTTTCCTGAGTTCTCCCATCATAGCCTTATTCCATGTTTTTATCCCATCATAGCCTTATTCCCTGTTGAATGCCTCTTTCTCCTCCTGAGCTGTAAGAATTGGAAGAATAAAAGGCTTCTTTGGTCTTGAAGTCATCATTGCCTGGATGGCTCCGGCATAGAACCTGCCACACAGTAGGTGCTCAGAAACATTTGCTGAATGAATGAATGAATGAGTGAGTGAGTGAGTGCCTGAATGAATAACCACGCAGCATCCTCTCCATGAGACTTTTTCCAGAGAAATCCTCGTGGAATCCCAATATTAAGAGCAGACAAGCTGCAGAGGAAGTAGTTTTTCCTGAGCAATTGCCATTCATCTAATGGCCATCATAATTCTTACAAATCAAACATTTCATTTTTGCATTAAGTGCTAGCAAGTGCTGGGCTTATTTGTGACCCAGCACAGCCCGTGTGTAGGTTTTTACGATGTGCAATCAAGCTTGATTCCTCCTGCTACTTTCTTTCATTATTATTTGTCTAATTTTTATTATGCACTTATCATTTTATAACACTTGTAAACTCTTTTTGGCCATTTTATGAATTCTTTTTCTTAGTGCTTTTCTTTTCAAAAACTTTTCATTAAACACAACTCAAAGCAAGTACAGGTGTGGAGAGATGTGTGTAAGGGACCCCAGGTGCTCATCTCCCAGTTTAAGCAGTCCTCAACATGAAACCAATCTCGTTCTCCTCCCCGCTGCTGCATGTCCACTCTGATTATTGTGAAGCAAATTTCAGAGAGTATATACATTATAAACATCTTAGATGATTCTCTAAAGAGTAGAGGCTTTTAAAAATATGACTTCAATATTCTTATGCTTAAAAATAAAAAATAATCTCTTATTACCAAGTATTATTGTTTACATTTTGCAAATTGCCATTTCTTTAACAGGTTTTTTTTTTTTTCAATCTAAAATCCTAATAAAGTGTGCACAGAACTGCTTAGTAGCACTCTCATGTCTCTTTCGACCTCTTCACTCCCCATCTATGTATTTCCTTTTGTGCTTGAAACTTCCTGGGGAAGAACTGGGCCACTGGTCTTGCAGAGAGTCCCACAGTCTGGATCTTGCTGACTGCATCCACAAAATGCTGTCTACCGAGTTTCTGTGTTCCCTACATTCTTTGCGAATTGACAGGTAATTTTAGAGACTTGGCCAAATTCAAGTTCTGCTTTTTTGGCAAGATTGCTTCATAGGTCCATCCACAGTAGTTAGATTTGTGTTTAATTTAGTCCCCCTCTCTGTCTGTCCCTTTTTTGCTGTCAAATTCTCTCCAACTTCCCTGCCCTGCTCTACCCATGCTGGGTGCAGCAAGTCCTCTCTCTCTCCCCATCCTTACATCTCCCTTTCCCACTGTCTCATATTGAATAACTTTGGATGGGCCTCAATCCCAATGCTTTTGGATGCTATTTTTAAGGGCAATGCATCTTCCATATTTTCAGAGTGCAGGTGGTCGTTTTGCAGCTTCCCGAGCCTGATGGCCCTTGCATGCCTCCCGCTGTTGTGTTCGGGGCACTTGTCTGGTCCTTCCCTTTCACTTGCTGCTCTTGCCCCACCTGCCCCATGGGGATTCTAAGTCCTGTAGGATTTTATCCAGGAAGCCGCATTGTTTGGTGCAGCCCTCTGGCTTCAGCCCCACTCAGGTGGGGTGAATTCCAGGGTGAGCCCCTGGGGTCCTCCCGTCTCAGGGCTGCCCAAGCCCCCACTGACTAGTGATGCCTGTCTCCCTGAGGTGACCCTGCACCTCTATGGCTGTGGGTGCTGTGGTTCCACATATTTTGGGTTCATAGGGGACACTCTGCCACATGCTTGCTGCCCACGTTGCCCTTCGGGTTCAGGTTTTGCCATCATCACTGCTCTGCCCGCTCA